TATATATATATATTTATATATATATACTAAAATATTTATTAATATATAAATAAATATATAAACAAATAAATATATAAATACATAAATATATATATAAATATATATACAAATAAATATATAAATAAATATATAAATGAATATATGAATAATTACAGTTTATATATAATATAATAATACAATATACATAAACAAATATATATAAATATATATACAAATAAATATATTAATAGATATATTGATATTTATATATGTATATAAATATATATATATATATATATATTAATACACAAATGAATGTATATATAAATAAATATATGAACATATTAATATATATAAATATATATATAAATAAATATATAAACAAATAAATATACAAACAATATATAAAAAAACTTAAATAATTATATAAATAAATATATAAACATATAAATATATAAGAAAAACATAAATATATATATATAATTAAATATATAAATATATAATAAATATATACATAGGCATATATATATATAAATGAATATACAAATAAATATATAAATAAATAAATACAGTACATATATATAAATATATCTGTATGTATGTATCTGTATATCTGTAACATATATATATAAACATATATAAATACATACAAATAAATATATAAATAAATATGCAAAAAATATACAAACAAATATATAAATAAATATATAAATAATTACAGTATATAATATAAAACAATAATACAGTATATATATAAATAAATAAATATATAAATATATATACACAAATAAGTATATAAAAATAAATATATAAATAAATATATAATAAATATATACATTGGCCTATATATATAAATGAATATACAAATAAATGACGTTACATTCAAAAATAATATATAAATATATAATAAATATATACATAGGCCTATATATATAAATGAATATACAAATAAATATATATATATAAATATACAAATAAATTTAAAAATATATAAATAAATATATAAATATATACAATATATATAAAAAAATGTATATATATATAAATAGATATATAAATACAGTACATATATATAAATATATCTATATGTATGTATCTGTATATCTGTATTTTAACAACATCTCTATCAGCGCTGCATACTTCCGGATCGACGATTCGAAAAAGTGTATGTACTGCGCATGACTGGACTACACAGGCAAAGCTCCCCGGTGGAAAAAATAAAGGATTTAAAATGTATGGCTCGCATGGCTCGCTGGCTCGCATGGCTCGCTGGCTCGCATTGCTCGCTGGCTCGCATGGCTCGCGCATTGGCTCGCATGACTCGCTGGCTCGCACTTTGTCACGACCCCATACGCAGCTATAGCTTCACTTTAGATTTCCGTGTAATCCGCTAGGCCTGTACTTACTGTTGTGTACAGTGTGCAGTGTTGTATTGTCTTCGTATTTCTCGCTGGGCGGCACTTCCGGGTCGCCTTCCTTTCACTGTGCCTAAGTCTACCGAATTCCAATAGACCGAATTAGTGATCGAAGCTGTTCAGCTAAAGTGGGTATTTGAGCCAATACAAACGCACGAAGAAATAGCCTTTACTAAAACGTCTCATTCACGCTTTGTGTGTAAAGTTGAACGTGATTTAAATTAACAGAAACCATTGTTACATGTTTATGAATGTAACGTCATCTTTTCTCTACGATTGTGTATGCTAAATGTGAAATATAACGAGAATAAATCGTACTATTTTGGGAATAAAACGTACATTGATCATGTCTGCCTGTGTTACAGCATGACGACGGCAGCAGCCGTGTATTCACTCACAGTGAATCATGGCGTCGGTCGATGAATGTGCTTGTTGCAAAACTCATGAAATGTGTTGTACTTGCAAATTTCAAGGAGAGCTAAGTTATTCAAAATTATTGAATAATGTTCCTAAATTCACACCAATAACTTTGGCAGACTGCACGGAGCTGAACCTAAATTTACAGTCAGGCCTCACTCAATCATCACATCCAGCCATGTCGCGTTGTCGTGCAACAAGTGTCAGGGGCCGAGGCCTAGCCTGTAAAAACTCTACGTATATTTAACTTAATTTTACATGAAAATCAAATCAAACGTCTTCTGATGGTTCTATGAACCTTCCTTAACCTACCAATGTTTTAAAAAGTTCTTACCCGTGTACTTTGGTTTTTTTGCTTGTTTTCCTGGACCATACATAAACTCGCAACGTTATAGAATAGGACTTTTAGGCTCTGTTTAGAATTTTATACCCACTCGGCCAAATTGTGATGACGTCATCTTTCGTCGCTAATTCGGTCTATTGAACATCGCCACTAAATTTCTTGATCATTCCAAATGGAATACTTTTCTACTGCTATTTAGGTCAGTGGTGTTTAATGCAATCATGTTTACACAAATTTTCATGGCCATGATTGTTGCAGTTATTGGAATTTCATCGGCCTTCATAGTTGATCCTGTGTCGTTAAAGCTGTATACTGCGACAAGCGCATTGCACCTAACCAGTTCATCGTTAAATCATGGTTCCCAGTCCTGAATCTCACCCAACCAATCCAATATAATACCATGTGTTATCTTCAAGCCTCCTTCCTAGCACGTAGTAAATTACTTATTCATGGAAAAAAGGAAGTTTATCGTAACACACAAAAGGGAAACAAGTGGACGATACTTTACTATAATATGTTGTCTTTATTCTGCAATCTTCCGACATTGAATTGAATCCAGGCCCCAGAGGGTATGGGTCATCCATCAACAGCAAGATGCATGGGAATAACAAATTCTGTATACAATGATATTGTTAGCAGGGGCGGATCCAGAGATGTCCAAAAGGGAGGGGGGAGAAAATGGACACCACTGTTCTAGGGGATCTGGGGGAGGCCCTGTGAAATTTCTGTGTTCTAGATGCCCGAAAATAACATTTGAGGTGTTCTGGGCTATCATTTTTTTTCTTTCTTTTCCCTTTTTTTACCTCTCAAAAGGTGAGGGGGCAGGGCCGGCCACCCCCCCCCCCCACAAATCCTCCCTTGGTTAGTTCCAGTGCGTGCTGGACATGCACTGCATGTGATATGCCAAATTACTCAATCAATTTGTTCGATACACCTACTGTCGATACCCAAAATAGTTTTTAAGCCTTTTCCAACTTATGCTTGTCAATTGACAGTTATCAGTGGACAGTGATATTGGATCACCTACATTTGCCTCTTTTCCAGTCAATGATCGTCAACCAGCAGAACCAAAGGTAAAAAATAAAGGCTCACTGAGGGTTCTTGTGATTAATTTCCAAAGTCTAAATGCCAAAAAAAGATCTTTTGGAACCTTTTAGACTATAGTAACCCAGATATTATCGTAGGATGCGAAACTTGGTTGTCTCTGAGTATCCAAAGTAGCAAGTCATACCACCTGGTTTCGAAACCATAAGGCAAGATAGGTCCGATGGCTATGGTGGTGTAATCATCCCAATAAATTCTTACCTGTCAACATATTCCAACTGAAAATTCTGGGGAACTTGTGGCTGTAAAAATTGAAGTTAAAAGTATCAACAACCAACCATTGTGTGTGCAATGTATAGGCCGACTAATAATAATGTGGAATATGCTGCCAAGACAGTTCAATGAATTGAAACGATAGCCAGTGAAAATCCGTCGTCTACAATCTGGGTCGCTGGTGACATGAACCTACCAAACATTAATTGGATCGATAATTCTATTACCGGTCATCACTACCGGAAAGCGAATAACAAAATCTTCCTGGATGCTATCAACAACATTGGCCTCGAACTGGTCGACGAAACAACTCACGACAATAATATCCTAGACCTATTTTCCATAAATAGACCAGCCTTTTTGAGTAAATGCAAAGTAAATCCAGGGATGAGTGATCATGAGGCAGTACTTATTGACTCTGATACTAGGGTACGGCACCAACGACCTACTAAAAAGAAGAATCATTTGTGGAATAGAGCAGACGATTAAAATAGATGTTAATTCATTAAGTGAACACTTAAACCACCTTATGATGCCTCCACTGGGGATTATCACAGGACCAGCAGCGTCACAAGCATGATCGCACAGCTCAATTGACCTCCTCTCCATCATCGCAGAAATGCCAGGAAATTCATAATGGTAAACAGGGTACTCAACTCACTAGTTGATGTTCCACCGCATTCCTATATTCCACTAAACTACCCGCACTAGAGGACACAACCTAAGGTTCATCATTCCACCAGCAACTTTACTAGTATACCGACATGCATTTTTCCCCAGTACCATCAGAATTTGGAACATCCTACCAGCACCCTTGGTTATAGCCCCCACTCTTGAATATTTCAAAGGAGGAATGGCAAATAATGCTATCTCCAAGTTGTAGCAAATTATAGTAGCACTGTACAGCACCTTTTATGTTTTTGTTCTTTCATTCTGGTGGATTTTGTGTTCCTGCACCGCACATGCTCTCATCAGCAACGTGATTATTAATTTAACATTACAGCATTTAAAAGGGAAGGAGCTGGCTTATATTGTTGCCATATCAAGTTGCATATCACCAGCACTTAAAATTATTCAAGATTCAACAATTTATTTTGCCTTTCTGCAAAAATGTTTTCTGAACTGGACTGTTACTGTATGTGACTGTTACCAATCAGCAACTTGATTATTATTTTAACATTATTGCTTTTCAAATGGATGAAGGCTGGGCTTATATTGTTGCCATGGCAAGTTTTTCAGTAATATTTATCATAAATATTGTAGACAAAAGTCCTGGACTTTACTATCCTTATATGATTGACTACTTTGAAGAATCTGCTGAGAGAGTTGCATTGGCTCTATCATTAATTCCTGTTCTGAAGAAGTTACTAGGTAAATCATTATCTTTTTTTAGCTCAGTTGGCTTAAACTGGTGTTAGCCAGGATCAGATCCTCCGTGAAGTTCCTTTCCTTATCAAAGTTTCAATAAAATACTGTAAGCACGTCTATAATTACATTCATTACCGAATGTTAAGTAAAGCCAGTTTTCCACTAGACGATTTTATTTGTAGAAATCAAAGGTGTCAGTTGGGTTCCTGAGCTCTGATTGGTTGCTCACATTTTTCCCTTCGCAAAAAGTAGAAACAGTTTGAACTACTAATTTCCCTGAAGCGAAAACTCCAGTAGAAATGCGCATGAACGACGCTATGATTTGCGCGAATAAATTTCACCTAGTGGAAAACCGGCTTTACTATTTGTTTAATATTTATTTAGGCCCATTTGCTGCCTTCTTGATGGAGAGGTTTTCTTGTCGACTTGTTACTATTTTTAGCACTGTAACAATGATGTCCGGATCTCTTTTAATTTATTTTTCATCAAATTTCAATCAACTAATCATAGCATGTGTACTTATTGGTAAGTCAATTTCTATTTCAACCTTTTTTTCCAATATTTATTACATTGAAGATAGTGCTGCTTGGAGAACGCATGTTAGAGGGTTTCAACCGACAGGCTAATGCTAGTCTACCGGGCGTTTTAGGGAAACAGTTAGATTAAATTCCTAAGAAATATATTTGGGGAGAGCCTAGAAGAAATCTGATTAACATTTAGACTCAAAAGTGTGTGGCAAAAGTATGTTCTGAATAGTAGGAGAATGCATTTCCTGTCAATAGCAATGAAATTAACCACAAATTAATTTTTGTATTTAAAAATGAATGAAAAGGCACAGTCAACCAATGAAGGTTGTCATAAAAGTATGTTTTTATTTAACTATAAAGATTGTTGAATTTTGAAAATACAAAGAACAGGGAAGGAGCAGAGTGAGAGAGTGAATTTCAAAAGGTCTGTATGAAATGTAGGGAAAGCAGCCGTTATATCTTAGTCTAAAGGGTCTTAACTCCAGGGGCGGATTGCGATAAAACGGTCTTAACTAGTAGTCTTAACTTCTCGAATAAAGCCGGCTTTATCACTTAGACGGTCTTACTAAAGTCACTCCGCTAAGACCATTGCTATAAAACTGTCTTCGTTTAGACCCCGTTGAGTATTGAAACGCAAACAAGCACTCCCTGGTAACATAAAATTGATGGCGCTGTTACACATAATGAATATTAAATAAGGTGTTTCTTCACGTCACGCTTGCTCGGTTCTTGAATTAAACATATGCACATGTAAAGATGAATGTAAACAACAAACGAAGACCCGCTTTTACAGAGGCAGAGAAGTTTGCTTTGATTGAGTACTTCAATCAATCGAAAGAGATATTACTTTCGCAATTTAGCGCAAACGTAACGCTAGAAGAAAAGAGAAAACGGTGGGATATTGTCCTGCGAAATGTAAATGCAGTGAATCCAATGGTAAATCGAACTCGCGAAGAAATAAAAAAGAAATGGAAGAATCTGTTGGCAGAGGCCAAGAAGGATATAAGCAAGGTAATATCTTATATAGTTTTTATTATTTAATTTTTAAGGGTGAACAGTAGGTATGCGTATATAATTAGGCGTATGTAGTCAAATAAATAATTTACAAAAAAGACCTTCTTGTAATGATGGATAATCAACGTTAATTAATGTTGATTTTAATTAGCAGTATCATAACCCAATTTCACTTTCATTTTATACTAGGTGAAGCATCCTACAACAGGAGGAGGACCTTCCCATATCCTTTCCCCAACATCTGACTTGATAGCGAACATGTTTGGCAGAATCAACGGGGAAATGTTTGCAGGAATCACTGCAGGGAGTGAGACCGGAATTGGTAATTCTGAAGCTAACGAAATCGGTAAAATATCCAATAGGGATTACATTACATACCATGTTGCATCATAATTATAATTAGGCCTACATTATATATCGAAATTATCATTTAATCAAAATTGCAAATAAAATTATATTATAATAAACTACCGGTATTACCATAGAGGAAGACGACCATACTGCCCTGCTCTGAGAAAAGGCATTAAGTACATTTTTTTCAAAATTGAGATTTTTAGCTTACGTGACTCCTGAATGTCTAATCTATCACCCTATTTTATCAAATTTCTAAAAATATGTCTGGAAATATGAAATTTTATTTTAATATTGGGCATTATCTGCAAATTTCACTATAAATACTCTGAGAAAATGCATTATGTGCGCGAAGCCTTACATACATGCAATGAACGCTTGACTTAACGCAAGACAGATAGTAAGTAACCAATCAGATGCTAGTATAACGAATATCTAACTAATTAGCTTGGAATTCTTATCAAATAATGCCTAGTTAGTAACTGCTTTATTTCGAAGAATACTCTGAGAAAGTGCATTATCTGCTTTATATTTTACGGAGTTTATTTATAATTCTGTGATTAATGAGATACTTTTGCCGAAATGATGCAAGTTACAGCGCAAGACCTTTCTTAGAAGTCTTTTGGAAGAGTAAGTACAATATTGTATTTTATTATGTTTCATACCTATTAAGTATTAAATTTAGATTATTATTATTATTTAGTAGTATTATTTTTTGTTTTATCGACATTGTATGTTTTGTATTGTGTTTATTATTATTATTATTATTATTATTATTATTATTATTATTATTATTATTATTATTATTATTATTAATATTATCACTGTTATTGTTACTATCATCATTATTATTACTCTTTCAGGCAACAAAGTGGTAAACCAAAAATGGACAGACACAATTTTCGCCACCGAGATTGTGCTCCACTTCGAGGAAGGGATATTGAGTGATGCAATTGTGAAAGAAAAAATGTAAAACTATTTAAAAAATTGTAAAAGTCGGAGCATTGTAATAAATCTTTTAAAATGTTTTGCACTCATTTGTATAACCTATGTTGTATTGCATCATTATCATCGTAAAGATAACAGTAGCAATGTATATTATAACTTAATAAATATAAATTAATTAATCTTATATTTAAAATTAGCACACCATTTTTATATATATTTTTCTACATGTTATTGTTAATGAACAAGTTATTATCAATAAAATTATGCTTTGTCTATTTTATTATTAGTCGATCGATTTAATTTTTATGATAGGCCTATTCTCATTATCAATCGAAAATGGTAATGATTATGATGAGGATGATGATGGTGTGGATGATGATAATTAAGAGGATGAAGAGATTTAAAAATATGATGGCATGCTAGTTACCGAACCATAAATAAAATACGTTTAAAACAATCACTCTATCCTACCTCACCCCCACCCCTCACAACACCGTCTCCTTCCCACTCCCCTCTGCGCATTTTCCTCGTGTACACAATTAAATTCCTTATTTTATAATGTCTTTGGATTTCATACATATACTTCGGTTTTTAAAAATTAAATAGAAGACTTTGCGATTTCAACTATTTTAATATTTTTAAATATTAGTTTTTACTTGTTTTTGAAGCAATATTTTTATAAAATATATGTTATAAATCTATAGATTAAATTTCATATACATACATTTCAATAAAGTAATAATTAATGCATGTTTATAAACACTTTTGCAGATAATGCCCGATTTCAAAAGTATTTTTCTATATTCATAGTTATAAATACTCTGAAAAAAGGCATTATCTCCATATTGGCCCCCTTAATTATAAAATTAATCAATGAAAAGTATGTGGCAAATTTTTTAATAATATATCTAAGCAAACCATAGTTTAACAAATTTGAAATCATTTGTACTTTTCTTGGGAAAAACTCAAACGCGTTTTGCTAATTTACTCAAAACTATGATTTTGTTACTTAATGCCTTTTCTCAGAGCAGGGCAGCATAGTTCTTCACCAATCTGGCAGCAAGAGACTACAGTCACTGCTACCGCTACTACTTCCAGTAGTAACAGTAGGCCTATTAGTAGTAGTAGCCAATCAAAGCAGCGACGTGTGGCTCAAAATTCAGAAGAAATGACAGACGAATACATGGAGTGGGGAATTAAATTGGCGAAAGCTAAAATAAGCAAATGCGAAAAACAAGAGCTGAAATTAAAGGGAGAAGTAGAAATGTTGAGATTGCAACAGCAAAAGCTGCAATTGGAGATTGCAATTTTAGTGTCACAAGTACACGTGATTAATGAGCAATGAATCCACACTGCAAATTTCGAAATACTAATCAATTTTTAAAAAGTTATATATTATTCATATTTATTAATTCGTAAACATTTCTTATGCACATACGATAATTGTTTAATGTACGACGAACGAACTTAGGCCTAATGATAATTATTTTAATTTAAACATATTATTCAGTAACTATATTTAACAGATATTATATCCTTTAATTTAATTTAAAATAATACGATGCTGTAATTAATAATATTCGTAAAAACATTAAAATAAAATACAGGGTATAACAGTTTATAAAATTGGTGTAATTCTTTTAGTACAATATTGATCATCTCAAAGCCTGTGCAATCATATTTCGAACTATTCTACCATCAGCTGCCACGGGTCCATTGTACACTTCCTTAACCTGATATTGCTGTTCGTTTATCTCCTCATCTATATCTGGCAGTTTCAGATCCCTAGATATGTTGTGCAGCACCAATGTGAATGATTCTTGTTTGACTGATTCAAATCATCAATAATTAAATCAGTTAATCAAATAATTTCTCTACGCAGAAATCTATATTTCCTATATAATTATTCATCGTTATAGATCTGCAACGGATGAGATCGATCACGGAATATTCGTCGTTCGAGTCTTTGACGAGCCTTGCCTAGTATCGGTAACGCCATGTTGAAAATAATTTAAGACCGTTTTAAGCCTCCTCCGAGTAGGCTTTAAAATTTAAGACGGCTAACTGCTTAGACCGCGGTATAGCAATGGTCTATAATTATAGACCAGTAGTGACGTCACGATTATAGCCGGCTAACCGTTAACCCCGGGACTGATACAATGATATTGTGGAGTATTTAATAACTGCTTGAATATTTGAGAAAGGTAGCAGAATTTTGATATTTGTAAAACTATAGAAGGAAATAAGACTGCAAGCTATTAATGAAAGAATTTTACAATAATCAGTTTAGCGGAAATATAAAAATAAACAAGAATTTCATTCATTCAATATTTGACTTTGAATATTTCGAAGATTTTCATACCAACAAATAAACAAAATCGAGCTGATGTGCTAATTATTATTATTATTATTATTATTATTATTATTATTATTATTATTATTATTATTATTATTATTATTATTATTATTATTATTATTATTATTATTATTATTTTTATTATTATTATCTGTGTTTTATTATTATTAATAACACTTTTTACACGGAAGACCTGTCTCACCCGATGGGTGTTACTCTACAAGGTTGTGTTGTCATTGAGATTGTAAAATAACAGTATGAAAAATAATAACACATAAAATATCACAATAAAGACAAAATTATATACAAATATGAGACATGAAAAATGA